CTATTGACACCAAAATGGATTTCTTTTGAAGAAAGTGCTCAAACTGGGACATCTCCAGTCCTCGATTTTTGAGTCTCACACTTGTCTCACACACAAACCAAAATCCAACTACGAAAGAGGAATCCGCAAATTGCCTGTAAAATGAGCGAAAGTCGTTAATAATAATGGAAATTATTTGGAATGAATTTATGCTTTTATGTTGAATAAATTTTAGTTCAAAGTCCCGCAGTTTTCAATTCACCAACCCAATAGTATTGAGAATAAAGAAATTTAGAGCGAAAACTACTGAAAATACTAAAACTATTGAAAAAATAGTAAAAAAACAACTGAAAATACGGAAAATAGTACTGAGAATCAAGGAATTTCGAGCGAAAAATGAAAGCTGGTGGAATGACAAGCTAAATTAGCTTTACGATAGGAATTTCAATACGAAGAATAACAATTATTTCAGTGATTAATAGCAATAGCAATTATTACACCTTTTTGCAAGGAAATTTTTGCAAAGTTATGCTTTTTTGGCGATATTTATCTTGGCACAACTTTCATTGTATGAAATTAAAAATAAAATCTTATGAGTGCTCGAATAATGAAAGAAGAATGTTTTGAAGAGTCATTAGACTACGGTAAACGAGGGAATTTTTATTTTCATCTAGTTCTCTGTCGTTTTTCTACTTACCGTAGTCATTAGACTACGGTAAGTAGAAGTCGAAAAAGTATATTTGCAAGCATCTCAATCGCTGTATAATGATGATGTAATCTGCAAAGAGCTGAACAAAGTGCGTTTCGTAGAAAAATTGGGAATCACTTTGTTCTCTTCTCGAGTGGTGCAACGAGGATAGCATCTAACGATGAAGAAAAGAAAATGAGAAGAACAGAAGAATTGAATTTGGACAACGTAAATCTTTCTTTCATGAGATGAGTATTTTGAAGGAGAAAAGAAAAAAGATATTTAGAGAAAGAGGTTCTTTTTCTTTTTGAAAAGAAATAAAGTGGATAAAGTTTTACAAATGAAGTCAATTATTGGAGAAAAGAGTCAAAAATTGATAGATTTTAAACTTCGAAGTTTGGAATTTGTTTCAGAAAGATTCTAAAGTTTTTTAAAATCAAATTGAACATTTTTTAAATCATTTGTTAGATAAATTGAAGCATCAACTGAGCTGTGCTTACCTTTTGTGTGTCTCGTACGAAAAAGTGGCATCTGGCACACGACCCGTCGCCATAGCGCGAGAGAGACAGCACTCCTCGGTTTAATTACCCAAGGTGAAGGTTAGCATTAACCCGCCGAGTGCCTCGAGCTTTGAGCTCTTCTAACTAAGAAAAGCCTTCTAACTCTTCTAACTAAGAAAAGCCAATTTCCCCTCAATTTCTCCCATAACTTTTAAGTGCTTTGAGATAAAAGTTTGAGCCGCCGAGTGCCTCGAGGAAATTTTGGAACGCGTCCTGATAGAGGATGCATAAATGAAGTAAAAGTGAGTACCAAAGTCATCATGCTTTTATCTTTATAGTCAGTCATCATGCTCTTTTATTTATCACCAATAAGACAATGCTAGGTACTCATGGAAAAGCAAAAATTCATTAATGTTCTTTATTTTACACTTTATCCTTTTTTTTATTCATCGATTTCAAGATTTTCTCTTTCATTATCGTTTTCAATTGGATTAAGAGATGCAAAGAAAAGCAATCTATTTTTGGTTTTGAAAGAAAATGCGAAAAGCCATTTCTAAAAATAACCAAGCCAGGTGAAAATCGGAAATTAAAGAGATTTCAGTTAGGAATTTGATTGGCTGATTAGCTAAAGTTTCAAAATTCAAGATGCTAGTCAGAATTAGCTGAAAATGAGAACAAAACGATTTCATCTGTTGCAAAATGCTACGGATTGAGAAACTCAAAAATTCATGGATATGAAACGGACAGCCCTCAAATAAACATGATTTCTAAATTTTCACGATTTCGAACACGATTAAAATCAAAAACAAATCTTTTCTGGGTGCATTTCTCGGGCAAAATTGAAAAGAAATCTTTGTTTTACAAGTTTTTCTTATAACAAATTCTAGAATCCATAGAATTAAGTCCCAGAGAAAGAACTATTAGAAGAAAGAATAGAGTTTTCCATTCTCAACATAGTGGGTTCAATTTGAGCTTAAAATACAGTTTAAAATAGCTCAGTTTATCCAGTGAGTTCAATCTCATCCAGTGAATGATTGAAATGAGTGAATGTGAATGAGAAGCCGAAAAAGCTCCCGGAAACCACCGATCAATGCTCATCAAATGTAAATGGAGTAATGAGATTCGAGTAAAAAAGGGAAAGATTTCAGGGGAAAGGGGAATTATTGCGAGGGACATGCTCAACGAAGCAAAAGGGCAAAGGAGAGGGAAGGAGTTGAATCGGAAATGAGTGAGAAGGGAAAGGAAAACGAGAAAAGGAGAAAAAGAGAAAGATTTCAAGGAAAAGCTTCGGCGGTTCAAAGCTTGAACATGTTTCTTTTTTTGAAGCTTTCCCCCAAGGACCTAACAAGACCAGAAAAGGGGTCTTGACTTGCTGACATCGGCCTTTCCTGTTCCCCTTTCCCTTACCCATTTGCTTTTTTTGAGTTTACGAGGTTTTCTTTCAAGTGAAAAGATGTTTTTATTAAGGAAATGGAAATGGAATGAACTTATCCGCATTCTAAAAGTGTAACAATTTACAAGAACTTGAATTTACGTTAAGGAAATGACTTTTTACATCTGTTCGACATGACTCTCATTCTCTTTACATCTTTACAATGTATCGTTTCTTTATGAAATTTCGATTCATAACTCAAGCCTAGATAAATTTTGAATTTAGACTTCAATGTATAGTTTTAAAAAAATGTACTTCCCTTCACTGATTTGGTTGACTCACCATCTCAAAAATCTCAAAGATGTCAAAGAGACTCAAACATCAGACATCTCAAACAATCACTGGTTGTTCAACAGCAATTTGGTTAACAAGTCAAGCCAGAAGCTAGAGACCAAGTAAGACTGACTATTCTTGCCTTGACTTCACTACAAGCTTCACTTTCAAAAGCTCATGAACATCTGGATCTGTGCTTGGACCATTCTTGCCTTCTATGCCTGGCTTTCAGACTCAGGACCCGGTTAGATCCTTCTTTGGTGGACTCAATTCTTCCTACTGAAGTGAGAGAATAAATGGGTCAATGTCCAAGAAAGGCTTTTCGAGGCTGGATGCTCAAGGCGAACTGTTTAATTGACCAGGAATTTTCACGAATGAAGCCTGGGTACTTTAATCCAGGCTGGGCAAAGAGAACGTCATTGATCACCCGACTGTGGATGGTGATATGACGTTGAGTGCAATTTAAACCTTATCAAACTAACATTAGTTTAATGTCTTCTGTGAAAGTGGTTTGCATAAAAAAGACATTTTAAAGGACATCGCAGAGGTGAGCTAACTATTGACATCTGAAATGACATCTCATCTTGATCCCTATCCATCTCCAATTTGTGTAAACGGCTGAACTCTCCCCTATTCTCGGGAATCAGTTTTTCCAGAAGATATTCAGAGAATTGCTTGTCACAGAGCGCGGTTGATGACTTCTATTTTTGGCTGAAGGGGGGGGGGGGAATCCAATCACTTCACTCCTCGAGCTCAATCAAAGAAGAGGCTTGAGGTGATTGAGATTTGATGGGGAAAGAATGGAATAAACAAATGGAAAGAAAAGTTGTATAAAAGATTAGAAATCAAAAAGATTATCAGGTTTTAAAAGATTAAAAATAGAATGTTATAAGAAGAAATATTCATCTAAAGTACTCAATTTTTATTTCTGAAAGGAGAAATGATTTTTTTTTTCATATTACACGTAAAAGAAAAGTAGTGAAGCCCATGTGTGAGTATTGATGTGGGAAATCCCTTCACTCTTTCTCTTTTTTCTCTTTCATTTACCTACTCACTCATTTTCTTTCGAATTAAGTCTCTTTCTTGAGTCTATGTTGTGTGCGATTTTGATTGAAACAAGCTCAAGCGCTCCAAGAAGAGATTATGCGTAAGAAAAGTGTAGAATAGCATTAATGAACACTTTATAGACCCTTTAATAAGCAATTATAACTAATTTTCAAGATTTTTGCGTATTTTGAGGTGGGCGGAAGCGCTTGAAATGAATCATTTTACTTTTTTTACTTTTTTTTGCTCACCAGTTGGCCTATATGCGGTAAAAATGACAAAATTTTAGTTAAAAACTTAAATCAAAAGGATTCTAATGAGAATTTACAAAACTTAATCTAAATTGCACGCAAAAATAAACACAATAAGTACTTTTTAATCAATAGAATCAATAGAATCAATAGAGGAATTGATGTATTGGGTTGATGGAAAAGTTCTTTCCGATTTTTTGGGAGAGTACCTTAAATTTGTCCAATTTTGACATTTTATAGCTCATCCTAAAGCTGAATTCAAGACGGATCGATTGGTAAAAACCGTTTTGAGATATCTCTTTTCTAAAAGTTTTTACAGCTATTTTAGTAAAGGGCGGCAGAGCCAAAAAATGGCTGTTTTCACGTTTCGTTGGTTTTCCGTGCAGAAACCTAGGCTAAAAACATGTGTTTCGTGATCAGCGTCAAAAATAACCCCTAGGCACGCATTTTCAGTATCTTAGCAAAAAATTTTTGAAAAATATTGTCACCGGTGGAAGTCGAACCAGCGACCCTCAGATCTATAGCCTTTCCGCCGCTTTTCGCGATTTTCCTTCGTTTTTCCCCTTTTTTGTTGTACCCTGTCTCCACCAACCCAATACTTTTTGAAAAATCCGATTTTAAAAGCCCAAAACCTGAACTTAGCTACGGAAAGTTCAAAATTTTACAAAGATTTTGGGTTCGGGTTCTTTAGAAGTTTTTTCATAAACATTCACTTCATTGAAACCTTACTAGAATAAAAATGACAATTAAAATCTAGATTTATAAAATTTCAAACAAATTCTTGAGTCTTTAATTGCTTCCAGCAGTTTCCCTTTTTTTCCCCTTGATATTCACTTTGTCGGCCACCAGACTTTACTGTCGATGCGTTTCTCGAAATTCCAATTGTTCTCATCGTTCACATGAGTGTCTTCGAGGTGGCGCCTGAAATCGTTTCGACTTTTACACATATATTCAAAGAATCTCAAAAAAATCAAGACCAGGTTTGAATTTTGTCAAGTTAGCTCTGGTTTGACTAGCCAGAAGAGAGCTAGAGGCTTCTTCAAAAGGAAACAAACACAAAAAGCTGTATCAGAGATCGAACCGAACTGTATCAGGGATCGAACCGGACTGTATCAGGAACCGAACCGAACCCTAAACCCAGCGGAAGATTACTACGTTATCCACTAGGTCACCAGTGTTCTTTTTCTCGGCTAGGAAAGAGCCTTGACGGCATTGACGCCAAATTTTTGCTAGCTGCTTACACGCCCGGAAAGTCATTGGCAGATTTTGATTTCTGATTCAGCTTCCCCATATCCGATGTCTAGACAAAAGCTCACCTTGAGTTTGTGCCTTTCTCTAGTAAGAAATCCCAAAGCCGAGATCAAAAGCTTTGCTTTGGAAGGGCTAACTTTGCTTTGCTTTTGAGCTATTGGATTGGTGAATTGAAAACTGCGGGCTATTTCGCGGGACTCGCAGATAAAGAAAACAACAGCATAGAACCAGCTGAAAGGAGGGGGGTTGTTTACTTCAACATTTCCTCTAATTATTTAGTTTTGAGTTGACAATAGTCGACTTGAATCTTGATGTTTTCCCTACAAGTTTATCGCGTCTTTGCTCTAGGCTGGTTTATTAGCTTTTCAGACTCTTTCAATTTCTTGTTCTTAAAAAGTGGCTTCAAAAATAGTTGACTAACCAGTTGACGGTGAATGGTCGAATCGTGGGCAATGGCAAGGGTCTTCCCGGCTTGCTTTGCTTTATCGGTGCTAGTAAAGGACTCTATAAATAACTTCTAAATTTTGCCAGCTTTTGCCAGCCAATTTTGCCAGCCACTAAATTAAAAATCATTTACCTGAATCAAAGCCACATCTTGTCCATACCAATCTTGAGCATAGCTGTCCTAAAAGTTTTTATCCATCACTAGCATATGAGTAAAGCATAAAGCCCTACTCTGGTGACGATTATATAGGTGTAGTAGGATCATTGGTAGAGCGTTCGACATGTAGAAGCTCATTGGTAAGCGAGAGATCGCGGGTTCAAATCCCGGATTCGAATTAAAAGGTCAAATAACCGCCTTTTTTTTCTTTTTGTAAACTTTTGGTGATTACACTCAAATGATTACATTTGAGTGCCTACATTTTATCCAAAAAAGCTACAATTTATAGCTACAGTTACCGTTTTGAATGGCAAACGATACAATTTATAGACGAATGGCGAGAATTCTAAATCGAACGGATTATCCTGCGAACGGGAAAGATAAAAGAGAATTGCGAAGAGAAATAGTCGTGACATCGAGAAATCAATGGCAAAATGATAGGGGAAAGTGTAAATGTTTTCTTTTCGATTTCCATCATTCTTTTTTGATGACCTTGATGGGGTGAACTGTGAGGGATTGCTTTCTATTAGGTTGGCAAGAGAGTTCGTAGAAAAAGTTTGCACGGTGATTTCTCAAAAACCAATCCATCAATTCTTACCAGATTTTTTGATAAACTTATATTTCTATATTTCAAAAAGTTATTAACAAGAAGAAAATCAGAGTTGGTTTTAGGTAAAAAAAATAAGAGATTTCTTCAGCTGAAGTGACTTGGTCACTTTTTGAGGGACCAGTCTTTAGCCAGGTTTTTGAATGGGTTAATTTTGTGTACGTTGTAAAGAAGTTTCAATTTTGCAAGAAATTTGGGTATTTTGTGGTTCGTAAAATGTGAATTATATCGTAGATAATCTGGATTACGGTAAGTCATCTAGAATTCGTCGAGAAACCTACTGTAGCTGCTAGTATTTAACGAAGAAATTTGGCGAAATTCCTCATTCTTTTTTCCTTTTCCTTTTTACCCTTTAACGAAAACGAATTCCTTTTTACAATGTTTACAAAATGTTATTTTGTGCGTTCGAGTGGAGAAAAGCGTAATGTAATCAGGTATTTTAACGGACCGGTCTAACAAAATCAGGCATGTTAACGGACCGGTCTAACAAAATCAGGCATGTTAACGGACCGGTCTAACAAAATCAGGCATGTAAACGGACCAGTCTAACAAAATCAGGCATGTTAACGGACCGGTCTAACAAAATCAGATATTTTAACGGACCGGTCTAACAAAATCAGGCATGTTAATGGACCGAGACCGACCGGGCTGGTCCGTTGGATTCTGTGAACTTTGAAATGATTCTATTGATAGATTTAATGAAGATCCATGGATTCACAGAGTTCACAAAGTTCACAAAGTTCACAGAATCCAATGGATCGCCCCGGTCCGCCCCGTTTTGTTGAAAATGTTCTTGAATTAGTGGATTCGCTTTTAAGAAATCCCAGTCAAACTTTTCTTTTCAACTTAATATAATAAAATTATATATATATATGCTTTATTCAGTTGAATAGCGACAAAACAAGATCACAATAATCTGATGATACTGATGAGTGATACATCCATAGCGATTTAACTGGGGAATTTATTAGGATAGTATATAAGTCTTTACAATTTTTTTTTCCAAAGTTCTTTTAAAAAACATACCGTCACCAACAAAATTTCTATTTGAACTATTAAAAAGGTTAATTGTTTCTCTGCAAAATGACTTTTGGGAAGTTTTTGGAAGTTGTTGTTTTTGTGGATTTTTTTGAAAGTGCAAAGGCGAGCACCCAAAACTGCTTCGATGCCGGAGTCGGAATTTAAAAATTTATCAGTGCATCTTTTGGTTGCATAAAAATTCAATATTCCGTAATTTTTCGTTGTTTTATGTGCTCAGCGAGAGTTGGAATTGCTTCAACTTTCTCTTTCAACTTCAATACCTAAAATTTGCTCGTAGGTGTTGACTTTAGGCCTTAGGCAAGCCCGTAGAGCTTCGAAAATATTTCCATATAAGGGAATCGTATGCGTAGATTCCGAATTTTGACAAATCAGACCTCGCTGACACGTCAAATTTGGGCTAAAAGGCAAAGCTAAAAGCTTTTAAGACTTTGTCTCTTATTACAGTAGATCAGAAAAAAAGAATTCTGCCGTATTAAACCGCTAAGATTAAATATCTTTGAAATTTTTGGTATATAGCTTAATTTATTCAATTTTAACAGCCGAAAACTTTTCATTTTGATGAATTGTAGTGAAATTAAAAGGCAAGAACTTGCTGTACCATGAAAATTTTAATTTCTAGGCTTGACTTTTTATTTTCTAGGCTTGAATTTTGAATCCTAGGGAAATTAAGACCTTCTAAACGATAATCAATTCAATTTGAGTCAGAATGGACATGTAGCGCACTACTATATTGCTGTAAACATGGGCACCATAAACTACAAAAATGACGAACTGTCACACTACAAGCGCTTCTAAATTGCTTCAAATCTGCCGGATTCACATGATCTATAGCTCAAAAAAATAAAGAACCTCAAGAGCTTTTGAATCGACTAAAGTACACTTAAGAATATCAATGCTAAAGAAAGTTACAGTGGTTTGTAGCTTGATTTGACACTTCGTCTATGTGTGAGTATGCTCAGGACTACAAACCACTGTAACTTTCTTTAGCATTGGCATTCTTGAGTGTGCTTTGGTTCATTCAAAAGCTCTTGAAATTCTCTATTTTTCGAGCTATAGATCATGTAAATCTGGCAGATTTGAGACAAGCTAGAAGCGTTTTTAATTTACGTTTGCTGTTTCCAGTGCCCATGTCTATATTGCTGTAAAATCATGTATAAAACTATGGCATGGTACTGTGCACTTACAATTAGCACGTGCTATCGGTTATTAGACGCATTTACTATTATATTTTTGTTCTCAAACCTCCGGAAACGCATCCAATTCATTCGGCCGCTCTCGGAAAAGGACATTCATATACTCAGCAATCACCAAATCAGCATAAGTGACCGAATCACCAACCTTGAAAATAGTTTTTTCATGAATTTTAAGAAAAAGCTATTAGAAGTGCAGAACTCACCAAGAATCCAGTTCCATTTTTCCTCAGCATTATTTCCAGGAAGTTGAACAAACGCTTCTTTGCTGGTACATACCACTTCAAATAAGCCTCTTTCTAAACAGAAATTAATTGATTTCTAACAAAGTGGTACTTTGAAGAAACAATCTTCAAAGTACAGCTGTATTTTGAAGCTTGTATGTTTGAAGATTGTTTCAATTTTGAGCACAAGCAAGTACTTTAGCAAATTTACCACATCTCCCGGTCGCTTTCCGCGAAGAACGGTGATAAAGCGGTGGATTTCGTAGCGAAAATCTCGAAACTCCTCGTAACACGCGTCAACTTGCGCTTTTTCGATCAAGGTTTTCCCGGTGTATCCTAAATGGTGCTTAGAGAGTGAAAAGCTCGTATAAAAAGTGAATTACTGTATTTTCTACAGTGATAAAGTAAATTGAATTTTAGATACCAAATTTCTCGGCAAGATATCTCAGAATGGAGGCCGATTGAGCGATTTGCAAGCCATTGATTTCCAGCACAGGCATTCGCCCATTTGGCATTTCTAAAAGAACTAAAAGTGAGTTGAATGTAGATTCAAAATACAACTTTTTAGCAAGGAACAATTTAAGTAACAAGTAACAACTCAGTGTTTAAATTCTAAAGTTATCAATGGTGAGCTTTCAAAAGGTTTAGAGGTGCATAGAACGAAAAATAAAGCAAGCTCGAAGTATGAAAGGCTTTTAAAGAAACAGCTTCAAGATTTCAATTTCCTACGAAGACTGATAGTTTTTTTTAAAACGAACTCGCTTTCATCGTTGTCCACTCCTCATCATTCACTCGATAGTCCTCAAATTTCTCGCCAGCCAACGCGAAAAGCATTCGAATTGGTTCCGCCGAGCCACGCACGTCAAAGTAATAGAGTTTATAGTGAAACATTTAGATAAAAATATAAATAGTTTTCACGTTTTTTAGTGCATTCACTTCTTATAAAGGGAATTTTCAAGTTTAAACTTGTCTTTTCTGTTTTTTTGCAGTTTGAGCTAGGAGAAAAGAAAGGGGGTCGCTATGTCAACAAAAAGAATTTTCGAAGTGATCTTTGATGAGTAAAATTGAGATTTTTTGTTATACTTATTTGCTGTTTTGCGTCTTTGTAATTTGATACGGTTTAGAAAACGATTAGCTAATAGAGCTAATAGAGCTAATAAAGCTAATAGAGCTAATAAAGCTAATAGAGCTAATAGAGCTAATAGAGCTAATAGGAGCCCCCTTTAGTCAAAGAAAGTCTAGAAAACTTTCATCACTCTTCTAATCTGTGGTATTTTTTGTCGACTTTGTAATTGTCATTGTGAAGTTTTTGTGGAGTTCTTGTTCTATCGCTTTTTCTAGAAAAATGTAGACAAAATTGGCAAAAATTTGGGTCTGGAGAATCGATTGGAAACGATTGTTTGGAGAATCTATCAATTGAAAGTAGGATTTAGCTTATCTAAACTTTTCTTTTACAAAATTAACTTCTGATCATTTTGTTTTAATTGAATTTCAAAGAATATTTATTGAAGATCTCGAAAAATGAGTGTAAAATTTTCAGCACAAAGCACAGTGCATTTACCAGTCAAAAGAAGAAAAAAAGATGCCTAAAAGAAATATAAGTTATTAGGTTGGCAACTTAATAATGACGCGTTTATGTAACAAATCATTTATTTCAAAAAAACACAAAAGAAGAGCTTTCAATTCGAAAGGTATTCTCCATTAGTATCTATGACTTCTTCCCATCTTCTGCGCAAATCCCGGATCCCATCCTCGAAGAACTTGGGAGTTTTTGAGGCGAAGTAGTCATTCACTGCTTTTATGACCTGAGCATGATCATCGAACTTTTCTCCCTCCAAAAAGTGCTTCAGCGACCGAAACAAAAAGTAATCTGAAGGAGCCAGATCAGGTGAATAAGACGCGTGGGGCAAAACTTTCCAGCCAAGTTCCTCGATTTTCTTATAAGTGATCTTTGCAGTGTGAGGTTTTGCGTTGTCGTGTAAAAATCTGACTCTCTCCGGTTTGAGCCCCAATTTCTTCGAAGACTCGTTAACTCTCATTAATTGCTTCGAATAAAGATCAGCATCGACGGTTTGGCCAGGTTTCAGCACTTCATAATGCACCAATCCCTTGAAGTTCCACCAGCAACAGAGCATTATCTTCTTCCCATGGATATCAGGTTTGGGAGTGGTTTAAGGGGTCTGCCCAGCAGATAGCCATTGATTTTTGCGTTTAACGTTCTCGTAGTTGAAGTCACGTTTCGTCAGAAGTCAAAACCCTGTGAAAAAAAGTCGTTTGATTTACATTTTTGTAGCAAAATTGAGGCGACATTTTGTTGCTTTGGGTCAGTTCGTGAGGAACCCATTTTCCAACTCGATTCTTTTCCCAAGTTTCTGTAAATAGTTTTTGATTGTCGTATGGGATACTTCAAATATTTCTGCCAACTCACGAACGGTGAGTGTTGGGCAATCTTCAATTAAGGCGAGCAAGTCATCGTCGACCACTTCTGGAGGATGTCCTTGGTGTGGCTCGTCTACGAGGCTTTCATCGCCGCCTTGGAATCTTTGAAACCATCGTTGACATTGCCGAATGTGTATACTTTTCTCCCCAAAAACAGTGATGATCGTGCGATGAGATTCAGCTGGTGATTTTCCTTGTTTAAAATCGTAGAACAATGAAGCTCGAATACGGAATTTTTTTGTCCTCCATTTTTTGCCAAAAAGCAAATGATGAAATTTGGAGCACTAAATGTTATTTATGTAGACATCTTTTACTTTGTATATATGCAAAAAAAGAGGGAAGAAACGGCGCTTGAAATTACAAAAAACATGTTAAGTAGTGACGCGTCATTATTAAGTTGCCAACCTAATAGACTAAAAGGAAAAAGGTACAAAGAAGATAAAATGTGAAATGAAAACCCTGTGAAATGAAAAAAAATGGAAGCAGGAAGCAATTACAAGTCATACTAACAGTGAAAGAGTCAAAAAGTTCTGTAAAAAGTACAAAGAGTACTGCAAAGTTTTCCAAAAAAGGTCAACTTTTGGAAAGCCTTCATAATCATAAAAAATTCATAATGGTTTGGTTTGATTACAGCTGGGATTAGGGTAGTTTTCGGGATTTGTAATTACAAAACTAAATTTGGGATTACAATAGTTTCCAAGAGCTGATACGATTTTGGAAAACGATTAGCTAATAGAGCTAATATTAGTCAGGAGTCAGGAGCACACTTTAGTCAATGAAAGTCTAGAAAACTTTCGTCACTCTTCTAATATGTGGTGTTTTTTCGTCAGTATCGGCTCTTGGTCGTCCCTTGGGAATTGTAGAAAGATTAAAATTCATAGAAAACATCTCGTGAAATAAAGAAAATGCTTGTAAATCGTCAACACTCGAAATCACATTCACCCCATCGGAGAAACGAATCTGGAAAAGAGAAAGAGTGGCACTTGAGCACGGTAATCCCTAAACAAGTTGACACAGAAATTGCTTAGATCTAGTTTTAGGTTCGGGTTTTTATATTGTATTTTAGTCAGCTTTTGGATTGCGGTGCTCTGGCCTTAGCAATATCGATTAATCAATAAAATAACAAAAAGAAATCAACAAATTTTGTAAGTGAGATTTTCGTGAGCCGGATATTCTACCGTATACTTGACGTTGAGCTCTTTCGTTTGCCCGGGTCCAAGGGTAATCGTCCACTCGAGATTGTGATCCTTGTTCAGTTTCGCGTCCTGCGCTTTCCCCCGAAGCTCTGGAGTGACGATTGACACCTGGAAGTTGAGGGATTTGTAAAGGAGACAAGACTATAATCTATAGATCTATGGATCTATAGATTATAGATCTAATAACTCAACAAGACCTAATCAGCTTTAATTTTCTATAGTTGTTGAATAGTAAAAGTAGACGGTCGTCAAAAGATTCCAGAGCCAACATCTTGAGCCAGTCTTGGCCTTCTTGCGTCAGCTAGAAGCCAGACATGTTTTTGTTTTCTTGCCTGGCTCTGGCCCGATCAAAAGTCAAAGACAAGACTCAGAGAATTGCTTTGAAACAGCTCTGGACCTGGCCTAAAAGCTCTTGGGCCGTCCTGCTATCCTAATATTTTCCCTAATAGTAGTGCACCGAGTTGATGATTATTTTACGATTTCCAACTCTTTACAGAAGCTCAACACTCAAATCTCCCACAAGATCTCATCGTCAGCTACATTTTCCGACCCCACATCGATAGGTTCTGATAAGCGGTCTTCAAGATTTCGAGCAATTTAGCTCAGGGGAAATACGGTAGTCCAAACCAACGCTTTTACACCTTCACTTCAAAAATTTCAATGATATATCGTTGCTGGACACTTCAAATAAATAAAGAAGTCTTTGGTTTAAACTAACTTTGATTTTATCATCGTTGCTCTTCGGAATGTGCTCTCTAACAGTGAGCTGCACGGTTTGATTCACTTTCGCATTCCTCAGCGCAATCGTTTGCTCCTGGGTGATCAGTTGGCTCTTCGACATAAAGCCAACCTAAAATCGTAAGAAATTTGAATGATCAAAAGATTTTGTCAGTACCTGCTCAAGGAGTCGATTCGGCGCTCGGTACTCGATTTTCACCGCCGGGTCGAGCCCGAGTGAGCATCGGAACTCATCCCCGCAGGCGACATAGGGAATGTGGGTCTGCAAAGTTGTAGAATAGTTTGTAAAGATACTGTACGTCAATCTTGTCTCATTCTAAGCTTAAAGCTATTTAGTTAGCTGAATACTTTATTTCAGCATACTGTAAGAAGTGAAGGAATTGGCAAGAAAAAGTAGAGGGGATTGAACCCTCGATCTTTTGTTTTACAGGCAATTGCTCTAACTACTGACCTATCATGTATCTTAACTTGCCAAGAGAAAAAAGGAAAGACAAAGGGGAGAAGGAAGAAAGAAAGAAAGAAAGAAAGAAGGTAAGAGAAGAAATCAGGGATTACCTTTGAAACAAAGCTGTTATTCATGTAAACAGCGAGTCCTCCGGGCAATAGCGGTAAATTGGATGTGTTGATGACTTGAGCCGAGAGATAAGCCGAAGTACTCTTGCAGGGAACAGCCTCGTGCAAAAAGGCACAACCGAGATCGACCTGAAAACAGAAAATATGATTTTGTGTACGTTGTAAAGAAGTTTCAATTTTGCAAGAAATTTGGGTGTTTTGTGGTTCGTAATGTGAATTATATCGTAGATAATCTGGATTACGGTAGGTCGTCTAGAATTCGTCGAGAAACCTACTGTAGCTGCTAGTATTTAAGGAAGAAATTTGGCGAAATTCCTCATTCTTTTTTCCTTTTCCTTTTTACCCTTTAACGAAAACGAATTCCTTTTTACAATGTTTACAAAATGTTATTTCGTGCGTTCGAGTGGAGAAAAGCGTAATGTAATCAGGCATGTTAACGGGCCGGTCTAACAAAACCAGACATGTTAACAGACCCGTCTAACAAAATCAGGCATATTAACGGACCGAGACCGACCGGGCTGGTCCGTTGGATTCTGTGAACTTTGAAATGATTCTACTGATAGATTTAATGAAGATTCATGGATTCACAGAGTTCACAAAGTTCACAGAATCCAATGGACCGCCCCGGTCCGCCCGGTTTTGTTGGATTCTGTGAACCTTGGTGGACCGATCCGTTAACATGCCTGCATGTAATGAAGGTTTTCGTAGCCAGGCACAAAACGTGGGTTTTCTCATAATTGTTATGCAGTACAAGTTTGAAATTAAAAAATAGACTGAAACTTGAGTTATGCAAAAGCAGCGACTTTTTTACTTTTGAACTACCCAAATTTAAGAAACTACCACGATTTTGAGCTTTGAAAACGGATTCAGGTCAGCATCAAAAACAGCATCTATAACTTAGACCTCATTTGAAGTTTAGGTATTCCCTTGCAAGATGGTAATTGAAAAAGGCTATCGGACATTTGATCCCCGTCCCACCCCTTTTCCTATCGGCAATCTAAATTTAAGCTCAAATATCTTGATGTTGGACTATTCAATTAAAATGTTCTTGTTAGCATTGGATGCGCTAAGTCTTTTCCTGTCGATTGGTACAAAAACTATTTCAATTGGACAGCTCAACACCATATTTGAGTTCAAAGTTGGATTGCCAATGGCCAAGGGAATCATCGAAAAATGGATGCTGATAGATTTAACGTTTGATCATCAACTTTCACTCAACCAATTCTTATTTGTTTTTACTCTCACCTGAGCTACTAGGACTTTATGCTCGATTCCATTGGATGGAATGGTGACCGGACGAGCGATCGGGAAACAAGCCGTCGAGAGTGCGTCCATTGGGGTCGATGAGCACGAGTTCGAGTCCGAGGAGACATTGTGCGCCATTGTCAATCTAGATTTTTATGAGTTTACAGTCATTTTTGATCATTATCAAATAATTTCTTCACTTATACCTTTGCATAGCAGCTGCATCAACCAATTCATTGTAGTCAAACGATCCAAAACCCATATCTTCTTCACTAGCCATGCTCATCGGTTTGCGTTTCGACGAGCCATGACGTTGTCTTAAACTGAAAAACATTATATGATAAATCAAGTTACTATAGTTCCATAGTCCAATTTAGCATTTAACTCACTTTTTCGCGTGTCTCTGCAGCGTTGCGGTTAGGGTGCCCAATGGCGGCGGAGATCCACCAACTGATGGAGTTGCTGTGGATAAAACGAGATCGCACTCGTTCCACGTGTCCCCGGTGTTCTGTTCGACCAAACCATAATAGCACAACTGAAATGACGATTTAAATAAGTATAAAAGGGTTGTAGAGATTGTAAAACCCTTGGATTGGACTCATTAAAGTTATTAAGCAAGTCGAATAAGAATGCAGATCATCGAATGCAGAATTTGGCTTGGCGTATCATTAGAGATCTAGTATCCTGAGTATCCATTAGAGTTAACGTTACTAAGGAATAGTATTCCTTTATGTTTCTAGATTTCCTTTTTGAATGCTTATACGAGTCTAGTTTGAAGCTTGTCAAATGAAGCTTATCAAAAAGAATGTATCATCCCTACCTTCACAGAGCAATTCTGTTCCTCATCGCTCGTCGTCGTCGCTCGAATGTCATATGTTGGCTTCCAACCTGCGCAGTAGACCTAAATTTGGATAAACTTTTATCTAAAAGATGGAAAGCTTAAAATTTGGATATTAGTTCAGATATTAGTTTAGATATTAGTTTAGATATTAGTTTATAGTTTAGATATTAGTTTAGATATTAGTTTAGATATTAGTTTAGATAAAGATTTTATACCTGATACGTGACGAAAAGCTCGGCCTCTTTATTCTCATCGACTTCAACGATGATCGAGATGTTGCGCTTGATCGAGTCATACTCATAACCACAGCTAAAGTTTTCTAATGGAAAAATATTCTCTAATACATCTTTTAAAAATAAGATTTTAGATATAAGCTACCGTAGCTGATCAATTTTCCTCTCCAAATTCTCAATGTTTTCGTGGATCCGATCGCTTTCCCGTTGTTTATCCCTCATCTCGGCTTTCAGTGAGTGAACAGTTTCTCCTAGAAGATTTATATTTTAATTTTTAAAAAGAATTTTATCAACTTACCGTAATATGCGAGAAAATGAGCTAAATTTTTCAAATAATCGCCGTCAAGGAGAAAATTTAGGCATGGGGTTTGGAGTGGTGATGGTTGAGGGGTGATTTGATCTGGAAATTGGTGGGTTTGGGTTAGAGAAAAGATAAATACGTTAACTTTAGTCTACAATATATCTACAATACAATATACAATACAATATGGGTTTCAGATTTTTACTTGCTGAGTGTCTCCTCTCGATTTGACGAACTGGCGGCGGTGAGAGGTCGGGTGATGAAATGCCCGAGCTCGAGCCGGATGCAATCTAAAAGGCTTTTCATTTTAAGATCTATTGTCAATTAAAGTATAACTTTTAGTACAGTAATCAAGCTGATACAATTAATACGGAAGATACAGTGTACAGTAAGACTACAGTAGTACTACAGTACTGCAGTGATCTTATCACCGCAATACAATAGTCCACTGGCAAATTACTGTATCACCAATACTCTTCAGCAATGTTATACTTAGGATCTGTAAGCCAGAAAGAACAGACAAGGCCAGGACTAGACTAATTGTAAGCAAGACTAGACAAGGCAAGGCAAGGCCAGGTCCAGGGTCAGACCAATACCGAGATTAATACAATATCAAAACCCTATTATGTTTATGTTTACAGTGTAGAAATTCTACATACAGGATCTGGTCGTAGTACAGAACCAGGCACTTAATATTAGATTTAGTTAGTGTTATTAGCTTGTGCATCGTCCGATTCCCTTATAATAGCCCACCTGAGCAGCCACTCCATCCAAAACCTCGGCCCTTTTCTTGAGTGACTCCACCTCGTCATCCAGTTCGGCCCTTCGCGACTCCAAATCATATTTCTCTTCTTCAAGCGCTCGAACCTTGAATTACCAACATTCATTTAGATTTCATTTACAAATTACTCTTTCTGTTTCAGTAAGCGTATCAATAGGCATCTCTTGATATTGGACTTCTTGAATGACGACCCCAACACCATCAACTCGAACCGATTGGCGTTCAATGACCGCTGAGACATTCTGTAAATGGGAAACTTTAGCTGAATAACTTTAATACTTATCCAGCACTTACATGCTAATAATGAGTACTGATTCTATCGTGGATTGCCGCGACGTGGATTTTCTTGCGCCTCTGCCCAACTCTAAGCCTCTTTAGCTCACTCCAAAAGCTTTAAATCAGATTTTTAGCACATGGATCTTATGTAAACTGACACGGAGAATCGATTGGCGGCGGTTAGAAGTTTCCTGGATAACTGCTAAGGGTCTAAAACCTCTACCCCCTAAATTTTCTCACAAAAATGCAATCAAGTGAATTTCATTTTAGAAAAATTTCATTGTAGCCATGAGGTAGCCTGAAGATTTTGCTAAATTTTCTGCTTTGAGTGTAAATTGATTGGAGGAAGCTCAAGCGATTCTTCCAAAAACACCGAAATCCTGGCTACGGGCCTGTAATGCGCAATAAATATTCCTTGACCCTTCCGAGTCTCGAACATGATACGAAGTCTGGGATTACTTAAAGTAACTGAAATTAAACCCTTGATCTTTGAAAAGTTAACTAAAATTGCTAAGCCAAGATATCAAAATGCGCATTTGCATTGCAAAAAGCAAGCCGAGTGGCGGTTTAAAGGCAAATGATGCCAATTTCCGTATTCAATCCCATTATGCAAATCTCAGTTAGTTAGAAAATAGAATTTGTATTATATTTGAAATCCCCAGACTTAGACAAGATGCTATACTAACAGTGCTTTGAATTTTAAAATCTAATCCCCAGCAAAGCCTCTTATTGTCTTATTCACTCTTCCCAGAGCTCCTTGTCATAGTGACCAGTCCACCTCTTTTTTTTGCCCCGACCCTCAAAAAGTGATAAGCGTTTTTTTCAATCAAATCAGTAGAGAAATATTTCTGGGTGGGGGCAAAAAAAGAGGCGAAAAAAGAAGTGAATGGGTGACGGAGGGCCTGGCACCGGGTGGTACTCTTTTTCTCCGGCAGTAATCAACCCCGGATGCCCCCAAGCGCTTCTCGGCAAAAACCTAATCACTTGCCGTTTTTAGCCTCGACTGCTGGTTAAGAATCATACGAGAAGGAAATGAAATTGTTTTCTTCGCAAAACGAAAGAGTTGAACGTGGAATTTTTTAAGTGGGATTGCCGCCTGTTTTGTCATCGAATCAGTCCAGAAACAGTACCAGAATGCTTTTCAAAATTATAAACGTTCAGAAAAAGTGGCACTGTAAGCGTACAACATGTTTTGGTCATGGTTGTTTCCTGGTTTAGCTTGGTTTTACTGCAGATCTGCCCGATAAACAGTTGACTCTCGATTTAAGGATTCGCTCGGGACAAAAGTTTCGATTTAACGATTCTATAAAGTGTCCCAAATTTTTTGCGTAGCTGCCCTGAAAGGCCAACGATTGCGTTTGGTTGGGCAACTACGCAGACACCAAGGACGTCTTTTACGATTTCAAAATCGTTGTATCGAGAGTCGACTGTACTTGAGCCTGACTTGGCTAGCTTTGAAATCTGGCTCTGTCTTCCTTAGCCTGACTTACAGGTTGTACTACCGTACACTACTGTAGCATGTTAGTATACCACATCACGTAGTACGATCGTTTGCTGGGGTAGAGTGGGGCCTGATCCTGGCCTGACTTACTGACTACCCAAGGGTCAAGTTAGAGCTCCTTGGTAGTGTATAAATTAAACTCCTAACTTCAGAACTGACTCCTGCTTCTAGTAAACTTAATTTAATGATGATGATGCTCAAAGTACACATTACCCAGCCTCAGCTACAGCACCAATTTCTATTCACTGAAATAGATTGACTTTTCAAGTTGGAACTGCTTCGTATCCAAAAGTTCGTACAAAGTTCAAATTGTTGAATGATCAATCGAACAACCAGATTCCCCTTTACAACCCATCCCATTTTTGCAACCCTTGGGTGTTCAACCGTTCACTTTTTTTGCAATTTCAGCAAACACATAAAAACACGGAGATTTTCACGGGCAATGCTGAGCTCAGCAAAATTTTTTGATGGCCCTTAATGGCGCCACAAAAAAACGCTAAAAGATTTCAGAAAAATAGATTGTCGGAGTTGGCTTTGGGTTGGAAAGTTGAGTAATTTAAAAATTTAAAAATTTCAGCTAAAAGTACCTGAATGATGATCTCATTGGTGCCTTTGGCGAGACTCGCTTGGATGTAGCGTTTCACCTGGAATTTGAGGCTTTCGGAGAAACGATGAGATTTCCGAGCAGGCTATTCTTGGGTTTACTACTTGGTTTGACCTGGTCTTGGCTCGAAAAGTCACCCGAGTCACCCGGAATACTTCAGAAATCAATCAAATTGTTAAAATGTATACTCGCTAATAGTTTGCCAAGAATTTCTTGTGACTATTGTGAAAAAAATGGAAACACATTCTTTCTAGCATATTTGCTTTTAATTCTCTTTTAGTTAGGCTGAAAGCAAGGTTGCTGAAAGTAAAATGAAGCATTCAGTACACCAGAACAATTGTGTTTCCATTCTCGAGCACAGAGCACAGCGCAAAGAGAAACAAAGAACTGAGTTTACGTCATTGTTAGAAGTCCCAGTGACTTCAAGTCTAACCCTGGTTCAAATAAACATTTAAAAGTTAGAATCTAACGAATAATCCACTTAAACGATCAATATCTATTCAGAAATAAGACAATTTAATGGGGGAAACAGATCAGATCAAAATGGAGCAGATCAAAATGGGAAAACATTAAGAGAAAAATCTTTTTACCTCAGCTCGATCCGCATACACAACAACAGTCTTTGTTGGCAAATCGGCGGCCTCAAAAACGAAAGAATGTTGCGGGATTCCCGGGCAGATCAGTGTCTCCTCTGAGGAGTCCATTGTGTGAATGAGAGAAGAACTCTGTAAAAGTACAGACATGGTCAGAGTCAAGAAGTTTTCAGTAAAACAAAAAACAGAATATTTTCCCAGAACATAAAGCCTAGATTTGTCACGATTGGAGAAATAGCAAACCGTGGTAAACAAATTGAATGATTTGGAAAATTGACTCAATAACTGTAGAATTGATGGAAAAAAAAACAAAATTCAGCTGGGGAAGCGAATAGGTTGAAGATTTTAGCGAAAATCAATCAATCGAAGCGAAAATCTACCTAAAAACTATACGTTTTCTCAAATTTTCTTCTCGAAATTTAAAATTCTTTGCTACAAATGAAAGACAGCTTTGCTGCTGTTGTTGTGGAAAGACAGCTTTGCTGTTGTTGTTGTTGTTGAAAGACAGCTTTGCTTAACTTGTAGGTGTTGAATGAAAGGAATGATAGATTTAATTGGAAATGGATTGCACTATAGTATGGGATAAGGCGCACCCTGATGGCATAAGGCCCATCAATGGGATGTCGGTGTAGCTCATTGATAGAGCGTTCGCCCAGTAAGCGAGAGGTCGTGGCTTCGAATCCAGCCAGGCCCCAACCCATAAAAGGATCGGAATGTCCAACTCTATGTTGTAAATGGCTGAGTAACTTGAAAAACAACTACACTAGCGTTTTGCCAACAGTTACACCAAGCTGTATGGCTAAATTATGGCCTATTAGTGTAAGTGAAACGTTTAGAGAGTTCAGTTTGTCTGGAAGAGTGCGTTTTCCATTCTGGAACACATTTTGAAGCTCAAGTAGCAGCTCTTGATATAAGAAAAGTGGGGAAAAGGTTGAAATTCCAAAAGTAAAGAAGAAATTGCAAAAACTGTTCTTTAAAGGGAAGCTTTATAGTGCCAGAAAAGCAACTGGCAGCTGGCAACTGGCAGAGTAGAAAATGTAATTTTAATTTCTCACGTAGAATTCAATAACAATTCGAAACTCAAAACTCAAAACTTATCACTTTCAAGGTGATGAATGTGTTTACCAGATTAGAAATAAGGAAAGAAAATGGGAAAATGAACGGGAAGGGGTCGCTGTTTTTGGGGAGAGAGGAGCACTGTTTCCCTCCCATTGACCATAAAAAAAATTATCTTCTTGAAATTCCCCTTATTCCGCCATGAATTGGAGCACATGGCGTCGAAATCTGAGCTCACTGCTTTTTGCTTCATTTCTTCTTTTTGCTTTCTGCGCCAAACCGGTTTACGATGGGTTAACAACGCCTTTTCTTCTTTGACCAAAGTGATACGAGTTTCCGGACAATAAACAGTAAGTAAAAGGGGTACTCTAGCTGAAGATAAATAGGCAAATTTTAGGATTTTACTTATAAGGGATACTGTACTGGGTGCAGTTGCGTTTTGGGCTTAAAAAAATCGACCCTTTCTAGCGCACTCAATTCCTAATTTTTCTAGCAGCTAAGCTCGCAGAACGGCAATAATTGAGTGCAGCGTGTGTTTATGATTTTTGAGCACGAAGTACAGATCAGAGAACGAATCTCTGCTATCAATCAGTCAAGCGTTTGCTAAAAAGTAGATAATTTGGAAAATTATCGTAATCTTTCTTTCAGATTTTGCCCGATTTACTTAATTTTTTTTCTGATTCTATGAGAAATTAAACTATGAATCGGATGGGATCAAAATTAAGGAAAACGGGTAAAGCTGAGGGAAAGATTCCAGTAGTTTTCCAGAGTTTAAGGTAGCTCTCCGGAAGGCTACCATAAAGAAAGATTACGGTAACTTTTTGGAGGTTACGGTAGCTAAAAGATGACTAATATTAGACGGCTACCAAAACCTTTTTGAGGGGAAGATTACGATAGCTTTACAGGTTATGATAACACAGATCTCACTCAGTCTAATTGTAAGTACAAGGTGATCAAAAAGTTCTCGCACATGCTCGTAAATGTTTCATTTTCTAAATGAAAGCTAAAACAAAATTTCCCGTCTTTTATCGTATTTTGAAGCTGAAATTGTGATGAACATTTCTATAAGTAAAGGACTCCGATCAGAAATTTCCAGCCTTTTCAAGAAGCCTTGCACTGCATTTAAGGCAAACACAGTTTCGCATGTTTTCGAATATCAAGTTTTACAAGATTATTTTGTGTTTTTATTTTGACTAGAAATCTGTTTCTCTTAAAATAACAATTTAACTTGTTCTTAAAACAAAAGTGTGAATTCAAAAGGCTTATTTAGGGTTTTTGAATTGAAAACAGACTCAAACAGGCGAGCGCCAGGACAGTTTCCCTTCAGCACTCTAAAATGCTTCTTTGGAGAGCTAGATGGCTCTGATTAGGATGGTTTAGGTGCAAAAATGCTCCGCAGAAGCTCAGCTTCAAAATAATATATAGTAAGTCGAATTTTGATCTGGATTTTAGCTGAAAAATGGAGCTTCTTTTCTAAAGTGTGCGGAAACTTTTTGATCATCCTGTAAAGCTGTTAAAAACAAAGCACAATGCCACCAAAACTCATGTAAAAGTACAAATTAAAATCAAAAGTGTTAGTCACGAGAAATTCTCTCAAAAATGATGAATGTGAGAGTGAGAATTTTCCCATGAAGCGCACAAAAACACTAATTTTTGCGCACCTTTTAAATAGACTCTAGTTTTTGGTGAAAAGCTTGTATTCAGAAGAGAATCTCTTTAATAGCAAACATGTTTTTGTCTTTTCAATTTGAAAAGACAAAAGAATAGTTCTTTGGCTATTTGTTCACCTAATGCTAAGCGAACAAAGTGATAAGAAAGTTTCGGAGAAGAAGAAGAAGATTTTTCCTGAGGAATCACCGCCCCGTTTCGGAGAAATAGCTTAAAATGGAGGGGGGAAAGAGCAATGTTGAAATAGGGTTGAGACAAAAAAAGGAAAGAATTTCAGCTTGCATTTTGGATTTTCGAAAATTATTATGGTTTTTCTTGTCCTAATCAGTTAACAAGCGATTGTGAACACAGGAAACGTGGTAACAAAAATAGAAACGGAAACAAATCTTTCTCATTTCATAGGATTGCAAAGGATTTTCTAATCTAGAGCTGTGTTCTTGCCTTATCTTGCCAGATCTGGCTTTGGTTTTTGAAAGAAACCAGGTTGTGCCCAAGGTTGTCCTAACTAGGAAGGTAAGTGGGGATTCGAACCCAACACAAAGAAAAACTCGATTAGTTCCGTCGAGCATTACACTACACCAGGAGTGCCGCTGAAACAGAAGCCGAATCTCAGCTCAAGAGTGTATAGCAAAAACTTTGATGCCAGAAATCTCACGTTTGCGAGCAATTCCGCAGATTTTGTTTGCAGATTCGGAATCCCAATTCGATTTTCTATCAAATGAGCTAGTTCTTGTTTCGAAATCCCACGATGGCCTAGTACCCTTTCTTAATAAAACAGGTCAGCTTCCTGCTCTAGCTTTTGACTATTCCGAGTGTTTCTTTGACCGATGGTTCAAATAGTTTTTGAGTTTCTGGATTTACATAATGTATGCAAAGTAATCATTTCCATAATGTATCCTAAAGAGATTTAAAGGAAACGATAAGGTATAAGAACTTAAAAAAAAAAAAAAAACAGTAGCGATGGTTTAAAATTACAAGAAATAAAGTAAAAATTGAAAAAAAATAAAGTAAAAGCACGAAAAATGAAGCGCTAAAGCTCTCTTAAAGTGTAGAAATCGGATAAACAAATAGTTGATAGTTGTCAATAAATAAAATGTTGTCAATAAATGTTTTCACAAATAAACTTTGACATTTTTGGAGAAAGGGTCAAGAGAAAGGTCTCGCGATTCTCCAAAAAGAAATCCCAAATTTTGCGAGATTGAAATGAAGGTTTCTTATCAGTTTGAGGGGGTTCGAGAACCCACGCAATATTCCCTTCATTCAATTTTTCTCAATTTTTCCTCATTTCCCTCAATCTTTTGTGTTTTTGAATAAAAACACAAAAGATTGAGTGTTTCAACGAAAGCATTTCAACGGGAAATTCTGTTCGAGAACCACGAACAAATATATCAATGAAGGAAAAAAAAGAGATTCTTGCAACAAACACGTGTACAAAAAAATGATTTCAAAGAAAAGCGTTTGAAGATTTGATTGTGATTGTAAAAGTGTCAGTTTTTTTTTGCAGCTCTTACATTTTTTTCTTTGTGAGATTTGTTTATGACTAAAATTTGTTATTATTTGGATAGAATTTCATTGCATTGGTTTCCAATTAAAGTTCAAAAAGACTTTTAGGCTGGTACTATAGCTGGTACTCTAGCATTTAAACTAATTTCTACAGTACCGACAAGCTACAGTATTCTTTTATCTTTCATTGAAAGTTATCAAGTTTTTAGAAGCTCGAGCTGCTTGATCAAGAATAGCAAACATTAGAACCAAACAGTTTCTCAAAAGAGCATCATTTTTCGTGACTCAGATTTTAATGATTTATTAGATAAGTTAGAAATACAGTATTCCCATTTTTGACAATTTATGATTACCATTCACATGTACTTTTGATTATTGTACAAAAAATATGAACTATTTCTGTTGTACAGATGTTCAATATTCATGGAAACCATTAGAGCACTAGATTTGAAGCTTTTTTTGACAAATGCGACCTTTTTTTGCGTACCTGGACATTTGCGCACCTTTTTTTTGCCGGAAAAGGCCTTAGGAAAGGCCGTAGAGCTTCGAAAATATTTCCACGTAAGGGAATCGTATGCGTAGATTCCGAATTTCGACAAATCAGATCTCGCTGACACGCCAAATTTGGGCTAAAAGACAAAAACTGCGGAAAAGCGTTAAGTTGCGTTGTTCTGATTTGTCGAAATTCGGAATCTACGCATACGATTCCCTTCTGTGAAAACATTTTTGAAGCTCTACGACCTTTCCTAAGGCCTTTTCCAGCAAAAAAAGGTGCGCAAATGTCCAGGTGCGCAAAAAAGGTAGCATTTGTCCCACCCCCCCTTTTTTTATATAAATCATGTTCAAAAAAAGGAAACAAATATATAAAAAACATATACTTTAAC